ATTGGACAGCAGTTATATTGAATCGATTCCTCTGATCAACGGTCTGATCGATACCGGCGTCTGAGTCAAGGGGTGGAGGAGTGGGAGCTTTATCTTCAATCTCAGTCATCCCTAAAAGGGACTGAAGGGGTGCTAATCGGTTAGCGGCGGCCGAGTTGTGACGTTCCTTGTCTTCGGCGGACAAATGCTCGGTACGAGTCTTAGTGACCACTTCAACGTTTTGGGCGCAAAACACTTTTGATTCGTGACCATTAATTGTCTCGCTTTTATCGGTTCTAAAGCCATAAATTCCCGCTTTGCTCCTAATTTTCAATACAAAACAAAATGTATACAAAAAACGTGATGAAAATTATAAAATCTCATAAAATACCGTTCAAAATGAATTTTATCGGTGTCTATGAATGTAGTGCTCGTAGGAGTGGTGAGTCGGGCGTTGACTAACTCGTCCGACGGCTTTAGCATTTCGATGGCGTCTTCATTGTCGGCGGACATCATTTTCATGGTCTCGACGATCACCTGTTTGTTGTCGTGATCCACTTCCATGAAAACGGCGCCGTTTTCTAACACACAGACAGAGACCACATATACGTTACGGTCACACAAGCGTATGGCTACCCATCATACCAGTGCCGGTGAATATATAACTCCGGTTCCCTCTCTGCCAATTGGATGTCTGATCGAAACCAACTAAAGTGGTGTCTATTCTAACGCTGGACCGACTCTTGTATATCTTATAAGTATCGCTCGGACACATACGCGTCACCAGTGGTACTGCGGGACAGATAGTGGACATAAGCACACATACTGTAACCTATAATCGGGTGCCAAACACTTACCCCAACTCGTGAATTCCCATTTCATCTCCACATAAAAGTCTGGAGTCTATTGAAAAGCATACAACAAATGTTGAGAAAAATCACACAAATAAATGCATTAAACGGTTAAATACATCACAAATTTTCTTCAACAGTACGGGAATGCCGTCCACACGACTGGTATAGCGTTGCCAATCGCGGCGCTCCAGTACTTCACGTATAAATTCCGGATCATTACTACTGACCGCTTCGTGTAGTACTAGAAGTGTGTTGAATGCATAGAAAGTAAACAATACGTTGAATAGAGAAATTATAAATAGATTAATAGCTATATGTATAGAAGTTGTATAATATAACTGAAGCCAAGAATAACTATAAGATACTGTATAAGTACCGGTATATTGAATGCTATATTCAAAACATACCGTTCACTCAACCATTACTTTTAACCTTTTATTACATTTCAATGGCTTTGTTTGTAATAAAAACTATATATAAAAGTAATAATTGATGAAAAATATATACAAATAGACGCCCAGAATCTCAGATAAACAGTGAACTCAATAATCCTATTAAAAACAATTCAATTTTCATACAAATAAATAATAAATCAATTAATTCACTAAATAATAACTCATTACATAAAGAGTACACTACTGTATATATAAAAACAATACACATAACCATTAAATTCAATTAAATTGGACACAAACTTACCGTTAAATCCGAGCGAATCTTCAATATTGACGTTAGCGTTGTGTCGGAGCAGATGTCTGGCCGCCCGGTAGTGGCCTAACGTCACGGCCAGCATCAACGGTGTCCGTCCTCGAGGGTCCCGTA